TTATGTGATCAAGCCCAATTTCACAATCCTTTTTTTGTTGAACGAATCACCTGCAGTCATTAAGGGAGACATCACATGTCTTTGACCCCTGACTTCTGCCAGCTTCCCCATTGACTATGCTCCTTGAAAGCCATTGGGAAAGTTGCAAATGGCACAGGACTGCAGGATGCTACATCTGTGGTAAGTGCAGTTACCAAACACTCTGATTGCAATCACATGACTGTTGGACACTCTGGCAGTCATAAGTATGAAGACCAGTCATAAATCACTTTATTCAGCACTTTTGTAACTTAAAGGTTGCTAAATAAATAATTGTTAAGGAAGGATTTACATATAACTCACGCTATAACTTTCTCTCTTGCATTTGTTGTTTTTGCATTGTTGAACTTACAGTATGAAGCTTTCTTGGCACAAATGTCTTTTGCAAAGAAAGATTATGGAAATTGTTAGGTATAGGAGACTCCATGGATTTAGTTCATTGTTCTCTAGCATGTTAGTATACTCAGAAACATATAATATTATAGAGGAAACTTATCTGCTAAAAAGAAATCTAAAAAGTTCCATTTCAATCTTTCTACTTCTTCAGAGTTTTTAACTCACAGTCCACAAATTATGCCTTACTACCCTGCATTCCACACAGAAAGTGAAACCATCTCTTCTTTAGAAACAACAGCCTTATTCAGCCTCCCTCACTTTTGGCTTATTTACTTTATGTATGCTGCTCTGGACACTGAATGTGGTAAGGGTGTTATTAAAAGTACACTTTGTTCAGAAGGTGTCAGCTGAAAGACCAGGGACTGTGAAAGGATCACACAGAAGTTATTAATTCCGTTTACTCTCAGAGCTCTGGATTCTTGTTTGGGGTTTCAACCATAATCTTTTTGCTTCTTTTAAGTCAGTGACTGTTTTAATGGTTTTAGATTATTATTACTTTATAGTCATTCTCTGCCTCAGAATATAGAGTAGGAAAAAAAAAGAAAAATTATTTTAAAGTGCAAAATTATGTAAGTTAAAGACAGTAGTCCCATTAATATAAGGAACAGGATATTGAAAATTGAAAGACCTAACTAGGTTAGTTAAATAATTCATCCAAAATAGATTGAAATGAACGAAGAACTAAGAATGTTCACCCCAAAGTAAGCTTACCTTCTAGCCTATATTCCCATCTCCAGGAAATGAAATTTATGAAATGGGATAGAATTGTGTCTAGTCAGTGTTGGTGGTGCTAGCCAAATTTATCTTCTGGGAAGCATGTACTCCTGTTCTTTATGAATTCATACTCATAATTGCTATTGTGGCACATCGATTCTGTGCTTGATTGTTTTGGTCAGCTGCTGGGTAGGATACCTCATTCATCTGAAGTATCCCCTACAGTGCTTGAGCAATAGAGAAGCATAGGCAGTTGAGAGGGTTGGTTTTTGAATTGTAGCATTGATAGCAGTTCTACTTCATTTGAATTAACTAACTCAAAGATAAGCATATGTTAATTCTGTACTAATGGGAGCTTTCAATAAACATTTTATTTGTTTACTTGTACACAGATTAATTTTGCTTTTTATTTTTGTTTGTTTTTGGCTAAAAATAGTGATCCTTTCAAAGATCACCTTTTAAAAATTCGTGACCTTCACTGGACAAACATTTTTTATTTAAAGGGTATAAGATGATAATGTAGAAACTTTCAATCTTTTCAAAGTTATACTCTATTTTATCTAAATTTGTAAATATTACAGTATGCATACTATTTTTACAGAATGTAAATATGCTTGTTAATGTACATGGAAGTATTATTTAACATTTTGTGAAAAAATATTTCTTGCTTCTTGTTTTATTTTTTTTAATTAAAGTTATGATCAGGTGCAAGTTGCTTTTCATTTTTCTTAGACATGAAACATATTGTTGAACTTTTGTTAAAATGGGTGGAACCAAAGGTGTGTTTAACAATGACAAAAGAAATGCCTTTCTTGCATTTATTAAGTAAATGCAGATTCAAGGTAAATCTGTATATAGGTGACATTACCATAGTAAATGTGTTTGATCAACAAACTTGAATTCTTATATTGTAGCTTGCAGTAGTTGTATTAAAATACATGGTACTAAATTGTTTCTGATAGTATTGCAGAAGGAAGCTACTATGTTTAAGCAATGATGCAATATGAGTGGTTTGTTGCATGTTCTGCAGTAATAAAAGAGCTTTGGAAGAAAATATGTTATCTCAAAACTGAAAGCTTGTTAAAACTAAAAGCTTGTTGCGAGGTAGGTGAAGGGAGAAACCTGGTTAGAGAAAGGAAAACAAAAGTTGCCACAGGTTTCTTGATAGTGTTATGTTCTGGATAGTTTTAGATGCACTCCAGAAGATCTGAAAATAAGAACAGTGGAAGAATGATGTCTGTAGTCTACGGTTAATTAATATTCAGGTGACTTTAACCAAACAACATATGGGAGAGGGTCCTAATTCCTGTTACAGCATTCATGCATCATGCAGATACTAAATTTTTGAAACCATCTATGTAAAAACAGCAATAACAGCAAGGAAGATTACAAAATAACCTTAAGCTATAAAATAATGTATCATTTTGATTATGGTTTATTTGTAAATGTTACTGATACAATTCTATTCAAATTTGCCTGCAGTAATTTCCTTGCTAGAGAATAGTTCTGGCTATTCCCTAATCATTATGATTGTTCTTTTCTAGTTTCTGTAATAATAATATGCAAATCATTCCATGCACATTCACATTACAATTTTACTTTTGTCAATTTTTGCTTCTGTTTTCTTCCAAATAATTCCCAAGATAGAATTTCCCATATTTTATAGCCAGTGCACACTAGACTGACAGATTGCTTTCCTGACCAGTGATTCCAACTCTGCTAAAGAATACATGAGCTTGCACTTCAAGCCAAAGCTTACCCTGGATTGCCTTTGCTATTTTAAGGCCCATTCAACCATTTCATTTTGGATCTCTCCACAATCCCTTTTTTGATCTAATCAACTGGAGCAATTTGAAATAATCAGCAAACTTGCCATCTCGTTGCTCATCTCTCATTCCAGAGGTGTTTATAAATGAGCTTAAAAGACTGATCCATGTGATACCCCTTTTATGCAACCCTCCTTTGTGAAAACTGTATTCCTAATCTCTGCTTCCTATTCTTTGATGATCACAAAACCATGAGATGACTTGTCCTCTTATGACATTGCTTCTATATTGAATAAGGAGTTTGTTGGATACATTCAGCTACTAGCACATATCAAATCATGCTTGTTTTCATGCTTGTTTACATACATACTGTACATATAGTTTTCTGTTTTTCTTCCCTCCATTTTATTCAGATTGGATTTGAAACTGTTATAATTTCCTGAATCTACCCTCTCTCTTTTTAAAATTTAGAATTATATTCTGATTACATAATAAGATATTTGGCTAAGGGCCGTACTTTTAATAATCATTTTCTGCTTCAAGTGCTATAAGAGCCATGGCGAATGATAACCGTGATTCATTGAGTGGAACAGTTGTTTTAATCAGGTTTATCCCCACCTTTTCTGGCTATAAAATGAATGCTGCTGTCCAGTTCTAATGGTAACCTTTTCAGCAGATCTAGGACTTTCAGAAACGTATGGGGAAAAACTATGCTACATGCTAAGTCTAGGGCTGAGTCTTAGTATTGGGAGGAAGTGAAGGAGCCTACAGGAAGTGCTTTGGGCTTTAATAAATGGGCATGCAATGTATGCTTTGAATAATGAAAAAAAACCTGCTCTACTATTTCCTATGTTTCCTAACATCGGAACAGCTTATTTAAATAAGCATTTCAAAAGAACTAATTTCTTAGAGAAACTTCAAAGGATTTTACTTTTCCTCATCTACTTCCTTCTTAAAATTCTGAGAATTTGGGGAACTCAGAATAAGAAGGGGGTTTTCTTTTATGAATTGTGGAATTCTTATCACACAAACATTGGCCTTTGCAGAAAGACAAATTTCCCCCTTCTCCTTTGTCTGCTGTTGCTAGAATAAAAGCTGAAAAGTTGCTGTTTATTTTTATTGCTCCAGATGTAGCAATATTGAGCTCATAAACCACAAATTGTACTTCCTAAAGGAAGTACTGACACTCAAAATTGGAAGTCTAGTCTGATCCTTCCCGATATTACTATTTATGTCTATTTTTAAGGCTACTGGGAGAAGTTCTGAATTATTAATTAAACACACAGATGCTTCCATATTAAGCACTTTTTGTTCAGTTTGTGGATCAAAAGGCTAGGCAGATAATGGAATCACCATATTAATAGTGCCATTGCTCTTTCGTGCCATTGGTCTCTGTAAGCAAGGAAACATTAGAACGTGAATATTGTGAATTATGTGAATAGGATGTAATATGCTGACAGGTAAAATTCCCATTTGTTCTTTCCACTCAGTCTTTCAAAATTCTTTTGATTGATTATATGTTTGCACTTTTAAAAGTGGAAGATTAGGTGTTGTTTATCCCAAACCAGGGACTATACTTGAAGACAAAAGACTGAGAATGAAGTACATTACATTGGTGGTGAAATACTCAGATTTCAGGCTGGCAACTGCTTGGAAAAAGAACCACTTTCTCTATGTAATGGAAAATAAATATTACTGCTGATAGAGATATTCATGAAAATAAATATATAACAAATTGTTTCATATTTATAATGAAGAAGTGAAATGTTTCAGTCTCTTTCATTTCAGTTTTTTACTTTGTAAAATAGGCTTCCACCACGAACTCTTACTTGGGATAAATTAGCTAAAGTAAAGTGAACTGAGTTCTAAGTAGAAACTCATAGGTTTGTACTCCTAAATTCAGAAACTGGCAGGAAATAATTGACTATTTTCTTATCCCTTAAAATAATGGTGATCCATCATACCAACAGGTTTGGAGGGTTTTATGCTAGGGGAATTCCTACCATGTAACAGAACTATTTGCAGAAGTAGCTTAGCTTTGCCTGTCCAATGATACTGATTCAGATATATTTTCTTATTTTACAGGTTCAGTTGAGAAGATGTCTTGCCAGAAAGTTATCCATTTTGGGCAGCAGTTATTTCGTCGGAAAGTGGTAGACTGTACAAGCAACGACAGCCGGTTCTCGCGGTGCCTCAACACATTTGACTTGGTTGCCCTTGGAGTAGGCAGCACTCTTGGGGCAGGGGTTTATGTTCTGGCTGGAGCAGTGGCACAAGAAAATGCAGGACCTGCCATTGTCATTTCCTTTCTGATTGCAGCTCTGGCTTCTGTGTTGGCTGGACTTTGCTATGGAGAATTTGGTGCTAGAGTTCCAAAGACTGGATCAGCGTATCTCTATAGTTATGTGACTGTTGGTGAGCTGTTGGCATTCATTACTGGATGGAATCTAATTCTTTCTTATGTCATTGGTGGGTATTCCTTTGTATTTAGATCTGTGAAATATTGCATTGTGCTCTGTCATAATAACTTCCCTTTAAACTTTAGAGTAGTTTAATATGATAATCCCAAAAGCATATTATTTGAGTAGAGAATACTGGTTAACAAGAGCAGTACTTTGAAAGGAATGGTTCTTTTAAAGTTCCAGCCTCTGAAGGTGAGAATAGAGTGATATAACTAAAAAAATGGAGGCAAAATGTGTGGGCTTTCTGAAGGGGTGAGTTGCGGAGATTAATATATGTTCGTTATTATTATAATAATCTTATTTTGAGTATTATTGTAGAAATATCTTAAAAAATGTGTTGATTTGCCATATTTTAATGGAACAATTTTAGGGAGAGGTCTGTGCAATGAGGTGAGCTCCCATTACTTGCCTCAGCTCCTGCCCACCTAGCAATTCAAAAGCATGCAAATGCGAATAGATTAATAAGTACCACTTCAGTGGGAAGATAACGGTGTTCCATATGCTGTTAGGTATAGCCATGTTGGCCACATGAGGGCTTTTAATTTTCTAATTACTGAAATTTCATGAGACTATTGGCAGTCTTATGTAAACTCTTATAAGATCTAAAAATGTTAAACTTTTTTTTCCAGATCTGTGCCTGAGCCTCTGATTAAAATTTGGGATAAATATAAGTTTCGTGGGCTCTGAATTGGAAGATGATTTAATAATGACTTTTGCAAAAGTGATATAGTACATAATCAAGCAAAAGGCACATACATTTCTTGAATAATGAGACAGGATTGTTTCAGCCAGATGATAGAGTTACATAGCAATAGCAACAGCACTTAGACTTATATACCGCTTTATAGTGCTTTACAGCCCTCTCTAACCAGTTTTATAGAGTTGACATATTGCCCCCAACAATCTGAGTCCTCATTTTACCTACCTCGGAAGGATGGAAGGCTGAGTGAACCTTGAGCCTGGTGAGATTTGAACTGCCAAATTGCAGGCCGGTTTTCAGCAGAGGTGGCCTGCAGTACTGCACTCTAATTACTGCACCACTGAGACTCATACATCATAATATTTTTAAGTGCAAAAATTGGTGAAGGGATAATGAAATTAATTAAAATGTAGAATTATTTAAATTAATTGGGTATGAAGAGCTCTTATATACAAGAAGAATGAAAGATAAATATATTGAGAAACATCTTGTTGAAAGTTGGCAAATAGTTTTGTTTTGTTTTTTTTTAAAAAAAAATTAGTGCCCTTTAGGAAATGTACTGTATGTTTTATGTGTTTTTCTTAGTTTATAACTTTTTAAAAAATGAAACACATTAATAATACATTAATCATTTTAGCAACTAACTGCAGATGAAAACTGCTAAAAACAATTTTTATTGGCTGTCAGTGAAATAATAGCTGGACAATATTTATCTTTGGTGGAATTCACATTTTGTAGAATAATTTTTCAACAGGCAGTTCCTGTAGCAAATATTTAATTTTTTTTTTTGTAGAAGTGTAAAGAAATAGTGATTCATGTTTTTCTGTGATAAAAGAAAATACTTGGGAGAATCACAGCATGAATTTGTTTAAAGATGGAATTTGTTCCAAAATAAGTAGGAGTGGTTGAATAGGAAGGGTTTGGAAGGGAATGTAGGTTGAACTTCAAAAGCTCTGTATTTATTTACAACGACTTGGTGTTCGCATAAAGAATTTCCTTGCTTTGTATGCATTTATAGAATTAGCACCCCCTGATCTTGTTGATCAGTACATGGCCTCCGTGAATCTTTTTATATTGTTTTCCAGGAAAAAAAAAAAAACCACTCTGTTAGGCAGCTGTTCCAGGTACAAAATCAATTGTGGAGAATTCCTCTTGAGGTCCAATGCCTTCAAAGAGCATCAGCTAGAGAAGATGATTTTTACACTGTATAAGTATACAAAGAGTCCCTCCCCAGTCTTGTACCCTTCAGATATAGACTAAACTTTAGCTCCAATTGTCACCAGTTACCATTGCCTCTCTAGGCTTGGCTTGTAAATGACCTCTCTTATCCTTTATTCAAAGTGCAATTGAAATAACTTATTTTCACTTTGACTAAAATTCCGAGTTTTACCCATCACACAATAAATGAGTGGGATTTGAATGATTTTGTAATGATTTGACTAAAGTTTGAGAATGGAGTTTAGTCACCTCTGGGTGAGATGGGAGCCAAAAAAATTATTAAATAATAATAATTAAGAGTAATATATTGAAGATCAAGGTCGTCCAATCTGACAGAGGAGATAGAACGAACAAATTACATGTTATACATAAATGATAAAAACTAGAAGTAGTAGATGCATTTATATTGGTAGATATTCAGTAAAAATGGGAAAACAATAAAAAAAAATAGATACCTAAATGCTTGTAAAAAAGAAATGGGTAGTATAGGGTAATACAGAATTGATCATCTTGTTTTGGAAAGAGCATTATGACTTGCCAAGTTTTGTACTCTGACGTAGATAAATGGATTTTGGTGATTTAAATGTTCAGTTGCAAAAATTTGCAGAACCACCGGCCTCTAAAATTCCCACAGGGAACAACCTCCTCATGGTCACTTCTGAACTCTTGGATACAACAGTCCTGTGAATTTGTGTGAATAACTCCTGTTCTTATGACACAGGCCAGGAAGCTGGGGAGTAGTAGGAAACAAACAACACACATTTTAGAGGAAGATAGTTGAATTGTCTTCCATTCTTGTTCAGCCTGATTTTAAAACCTCTAGAACGGATGTCCAACTCAAGGCCCGGGGGCTGGATTTGGCCCTCGGTGTGACCAGATCTGGCCTGCGGGGCTGCCCTGAAAACTTCAAGGGGCCAGCCCACGTTGCTTCAGCCCACCCCATCCCATCACACAGGCAAATGGCAAGGTCAGTGCAGCTTCTGGTGTTTCGGGGGAAGGGGGGCTGGGTCACACCAGTGAGCAGTAAGGCTGCCACAGCTTCTGTAAATGCAGGGGTACAGGGGGGAGGATACACAGGTGTCAGGCTGGAGTGGTAATGCGACTCCCCCAAGCCGCACACCATCTCCATTTGCCTGCCTGTGTAGCCACCCCAGGCACCCTGCCTACAATGCCAGAAGCTGCGCTGGCCTTGCCACTCGCCTACATGACTCCCTCATCACCAGACGGCGAGGCTCCTCTGATTGATGAGGTTTTGGTGCTTGCCCTGCCATGCCCATCCATGCCCACCTGGCCCTTTGAGGGAAATCATAATGCTGATCTGGCCCTCAATGAAATTGAGTTTGACACCCTTGCTCTAGAAGATAAAGTGAATTTGTTGTTCACAAAACTCTTCAACAGCAGTTGCGCAATTCTGCTTGGGCATGTCAGAAGCCAAAGCATGTATTGTTCATTGGGTTGTAGAACAAAAACATAGCACCTTCAAAATAAAAAATAAAAAGAAATGTGGCCAAAATTGTATTAGTCTGTTTGGGATATCTACCCCTTTATGATGAGATTCCAATTTCAAACTGGTCACCTCTTCGATATATTTTACATGCTTTATAAATTCCTTAGCAATTTTTTTTGCTTTGCATAACCTTGTTCACTCCAGATGAAATAGTGCCATGTGTATGTTAATGGATATAATGTTATAAAAAGGTAGCTTTCATTTTTATTCTCATGCAGGAACATCAAGTGTAGCCAGAGCTTGGAGTGCAACATTTGATGAGCTTATAGGCGAGCATATTGAGAAATTCTTTGGTCGCTACATGTCTATGAATGTTCCTGGTGTGCTAGCAAAATACCCAGATGTCTTTTCTGTTTTCATTATCCTAATCTTAACAGGTGAGAGAAATAAATAAATACTATTTGGAATGAGCATTTTGTAGTGCTTTTGAAATCTTATTTTGCAGAGAAAATGAACATTCTTATTTATTTTGCCATTTTTAAAAAGCTTTTTATTTGCTGGTTCAAGTTGCCCTTCTGAGTGGTTGCAGAAATAGGATTACTTTTTGCTACTGTTTGTTTAAAATCATTTATGTGTGCATGTAGGTACAGGCTGGAAATCGTTGAACATTGTAGCTGTACTTTTTTCTTGTAATAAAAACAGTGATTAAAGATTACCTTTAATGAGCTTTAGAAAAGGCTTTGAAACTTCCCATTTTTCCCCACTTGTGGCCTAAGAAGCAACTGTATATGTTATTCACAACGTTAAAGGGAATTAGATTTAAAATCCAGATTTACTTTTGATGTTTACCTCAAAGGCTCCTACATAAATGCTCGGTACACGTTCTCTAATGTGCTTCTCAGATGTCAGGCAAGATACTCTCCAGTTGCTTGGCAACTCTGGCACAAGTCTCTGTTTTCTGAAAACCAATGAGAAAGTTGTGCAGTCTTATTTCTGCAGTTGCCAAATCTTCTTTCAAATCTGAAAGGTTTTTCCTAATTCTTTCTCCCCATATCTGTTACATTCCTTTGTAAAAAACTTGAAAGCTTGCTGAGTCTCATTCCTGCCTGAGACATCACTCAACAGCTAGCAATGGAGATTTCCATGACTGACCAGAACATGTCTAGGCACCTTCTTAAAAATTATGTTTGCTTCTTAAAAATATTCCTGAATATAATTTCATAGACTGATATCTTGGATCAGGACCATGTATTGGTATTCTGATCATGTAAGAGGTGCACTTTATAAATACTTAAATCAAGTGACTGAAATAATTGGCAACTGGAAATTTTTGAGTCATTACAAAGTTCATCAAAGTGGCTAGATTCACAACACAGCCAAACAAGCCTTGTTGTTATAAAAATACTTTGGATATGCATAATCTAAAACATAAAATTAGTAGGAAAGGGGCCATATTTGAGGCACTTACTATGTATTACTGTGTGGAATCTGAATGAAAGTTTTGGATAATTTCCTTTCTTTGCCTCTGTTTCAAAAAATATATATAAGAAACTAGCAGCTGAGAAATATGTTGGTAAAAGTCTTTCCAAAAATAAATTGGGAAATGTTGAAGCAATTCTTTCCAAGAATATGTTTTTTCTTGTTGGTGTTGATTAAACAGTTATAATACAATTATCCACTGTAATTTTTTTAAGGGCTTCTGACTTTTGGTGTGAAAGAATCTGCAATGGTTAACAAAGTGTTCACTTGTATCAACGTCCTTGTCTTGGGCTTTGTGATGGTGTCAGGTTTCGTGAAAGGGTCAATAAAAAACTGGCAGATCCCAGAAAATATTTCACTTCCGGAGAAGTATGTTGGCTCTTATTTTTTATATATACATATCTGAAATAATATGTACATTCATGGCTTTTGTTTAGCACACACTGACTGTATATCAGGTATGAAAATAAGAAAAGTGGGCAGTTTGTAACACATCAGGTGGTTGATGGAGACTGAAATTCAATACTATACAAATAGTTTAATTAACAAAAATCAGTCTCATGGCTGGTGCCAGGCTGCCTATGGTTTGTTCATATGCGGTTCTTTGAATCATAAGTGGTTCAAAGCTCAGATAGTTGCAGTAAGCTTTCACTATGATCTGTTGCTATAGATAGAAATTAATTGTAAACTTGAAAGCATCCTTTTATTTACATGAGTAGTGCTTCTGTTGCAAATAAGATAAGAAATAGCAGCTGGTCCAGAGTGGATAACCTTACCCAACTTACTACAGCCAGATATTTGGGATTATAACTTTCACCATTCCATCTAAAATTAATGCTGCTGTAGATGCAGCCTCGTGTGTGAATTAGTAAAATTGTGGTTATTCACAGACTCCATGTGTATGTTCAAATTACACTTAAAATAAAAGACTACAGTGGGGGCTGCCCATTTGTTTCACTTAATGTTCATCTTGCAAAAATTTCCCCCATTGAAAGAAGTTTCTGTACTAAGAAGAATAAAATATTTGAAATGTCACTGCTGCTTTGCAACATTGAGTTCCTCCCTTATTACCTCCTAAGCAACACAGTGAGAGTTTTTCACCACACAGAGGGCCTTTTGTTAGTCCTGGTTTAATATTCTGAAGTTTTGACAGCCAGGAAGGCTGCCTTCTTTTGCAGTTGATCTAAGAGAAAAGCTATAATTCTCTGTGCCATGGGTACATTGCCTCTTTCCCGGACTTTTTAGATCTCAGTCCTTAGGCTATTGCCAATATTTAGCAAGCAAATCATAATTGGCAGATTTAAGACCTGTTAAGGAAAAAAGGCAATGGGAGGAGTCAAGTTAGGAGAAAAAAAAGTACACATAACTTGAGAAATGCATTTGAGTTATGCCTATTTTCTTCTTTGACAATACCCATTTTCCTCCTTGCCTTCTCCTCTTGTTCCTAAGAATTGGAATATGTTGTTTGACTCCAGAAAAGGGAGAATATCTAGAAGGCAGCAAGTCTTTTTTGCCCTTTTAATCAACCTAATCTTGAAAGTGCTTCAAGACCTTGTTGTTTTTGCAGGATAGAACAATTTGCATGGACCTAAGATACTTTATATACCGTATTTACCAGACTATAGAGCACATCGGAATATAAGCCGCACCCACTAAATTTTAAAAGAAAAAAATATTTGCACATATATTAGCCGCACCAGACTATAAGCCACAGATATATACGTTGTGAAATTAGATATTTACACAGAAAGAGAAGAATGCTCTTCACACGTGGCCAGACGTCTCCAACGTCTCACCATTGATTCATTAATGCCAAGCTTACGTGCAGCAGCTCTATTTCCTTCCTGGATAAACAGATCGATTGCTTTCAACTTAAAAGCTGCATCATATGCTTTTCTTCGTGTACTTTTCATGATGAGTGTGTGAAAAATATTTTGTGTTCGTGCGTGTCGTGCTGCTTGCGTCGAGTGCGCCAAAAACTACCGGTAGCGTCGTCTTCTTTGCATTGACCTCTTGCGTCTGTCACCTTTTTGCGCCCCCTGATGGCAGTTAACGAAGAAAAATCTATAGATAAGCCTGCATTGTTATACAAGCCGCAGGGTTCAAAGCGTGGGGAAAAAGTAGCGGTTTATAGTCCGGTAAATACGGTAATACAAGACATATTATATAATAAAACCTAGACTCTACTTGGAAACAATAAAAAGAACTTTAAAAAGAGAAGTAATAAAACCTTGGAACCAAATGGGCCAGCAAGTTTATAATGTTTATAATGTGGGCACAGCCATAGAAGAATTGCCTGGCTAAACTTTTTAGTACCTTTTATACAAATTAAAAACACAAGCTAAAACAATTAAGATTTTAGTGGATCTCTGTATGAATTTTAAATTGAACTAAATAACTCTGCATCTAAACAGAGGCCTGGATTTCTGAAAATGCAGATAGTGAGTACAGCTTCTTTGATTGACAAAGCTGAACCTCCCCTCCCCTGTCTACCTAGAAGCTAATGATAGCATACACAGGGCTTCTTATTGTTATTTAATTCAAATAATTAATTTTTTAAAATGATCATTCAACTTGTTCCAAAATTTAAAAATAGTTTTGAAACCAAACTTTAAAAATGAAAAAAAAAATGACTCATCCTGCCCGGTCCTGTTCATATTTGCAGTGCACAAAAATAGATCCTGTTGATTGTGATGAGTGTTTTTATATATTCTTGGATTATTACAGATTGATATTAATATGCTCAAAACTAGAGGTCCATTTATTGGTGCAGTTGTTTAATAGAGCTGCAAAGAGCTCCTGGGAGCGGTACATAAATTAATAATATAGTATCCATTTAATACTGGTAAGTCTTGATGAGTCAGCCGTATTGTGTATCTTGGTAAAGTGAATTTGCCCTGTTGAATTTTCATAGTTGCAAGATACCCTTGGAATTGGGTAATCAGAATCACTTCTGATTTCTTGCTGCTTCTTCTAGTTCCACACAGGATCTGCCGCATGGTGTTGGTGGGTTTATGCCATATGGTTTTTCTGGAGTTCTTTCAGGGGCAGCTACGTGCTTTTATGCATTTGTGGGATTCGACTGTATTGCCACCACAGGTAAGATAACAAAAAAAAAAATACTTTTTAAAAATAATAATTTCTACTCTTAGCTAGGCCTTCGCTGTGTACCACTCATTTAGAGACTCAGCCATTTTTTCCATTCTGCTGCAGATTCCTCTCTGAAAATAGTTCCTGCTGCTCTGCATGGATGGTGCTTCTTCTTTTCAGCATGAAATATATTATATTTACATACAGATCAGAATCTAATTAGATTCTTGGAGAAGGGATTATGTGTTTTAAAACATAAACAGTAGAAGGTACTTCCGGAACCTGAACGTGCATCAGAATATTAATTTCAGCTGTATTTGATTGAATGATTAATTATACCATGCAATGTGACGCGATGGATTTCTACTCAGAAATAAATCAACGTTGCAAAATTTAAACAGTAGCACACTTCTTTATGCCAGTTTTGGATGTAATTTTGTGTATCACTACTTTTTACTATTAGTTTTCATTATCTCATAGGTAAGCTTGAAAATGAAGCTATAGTAATATATTCTTAGTATTTGGACAACAGCAAGAAGGAACACTGAAGTTTTATGTTGCATTGCATAATTTTAAATTATGGTGTTGAATCAAATTGTATAGTTTGATTTTCAAAGATGTAAGTTATTTATCTAGGCAAATATCTTACCTCTTAGCATAATATGCAAATGTAATGAACTGTTACACATTTCATAAATAGCTTTAGGTTTTCCTTATTGGAAACAATGAGGCAATTCAGAGAAATAACTCCTAATAATTTTAAAAGGATTTGTAAAATGCATGCTTTACAATATATTTAATATGCTACTGACAAGTTTTAATTTGGGGAAGGATTTTTGCTTTCACTAGAGGAAAATATGTCAAATGCAGTTTCTTCACTGAAAGGAAATAATTAAATTCATCTTTTGTAATCTTTGGGTTGTATCTCCGTTTTAGGTGAAGAAGTAAAAAATCCCCAGAAAGCTATTCCAATAGGCATAGTGGCCTCACTTCTGATCTGCTTTGTTGCATATTTTGGGGTGTCGGCTGCTCTTACTCTCATGATGCCTTACTATCTGCTCGATAAAAATAGCCCACTGCCAGTTGCTTTTAAGTATGTGAAATGGGACGGAGCAAACTATGCGGTTGCTGTTGGGTCCTTATGTGCTCTCTCTACAAGGTAAGGGCTACAACCTTTTTTTTTGCATACGTGCGGTAAGAGTGTACTCACTGATGAGTGTATTAATCTTTAAATAAAAATGTTCATAGTTGATTTAGGAGTTGGCTTTTTTTAACTTGACAGATTTTTAAGAGCCGTAGTGGCGCAGTGGTTAACATGCAGTACTGCAGACAAACTCACTGCTCACTCTAGGAATTTGATTCTGAGCGGTTCAATGTTGACTCAGCCTTCCATCCTTCCGAAGTCGGTAAAATGAGGACCCAGATTGTTGGGGAAAATGTGCTGACTCTCTAAACCACTTAGAACTGTAAAGCACTCTGAAGTAGTATGTAAGTCTAAGTGCTATTGCTATGCTCCACAGTTCAGGTTTGATATATTTGGAAAGGTGGGTTATTTAGATGGTAACCGTTTACAGTTTTCCCCTCATATTAGTTAAAGGTCTGTGATAAAGCTTGCAGAAGAGGTCACTGATTCTACCTCTAGTAAATCTAAAACCCTAGAGGAAGGGGAGTTAACTACCAGTCACTGGAGACAAAGCCTTCCAATCTGCTGCTGATACATAGAATTTAAGATTTTCAGAGTTCCTAGTCCATGTCTCCAGAAACCATGCTGTGTAGGAATTCTGGAAATTTTTAATCACACATATGAGGTGGGGGGAGGGAAGACTGATAGGGTTAATTGTTCCATAATTGGAACAATGTAATTGGACTTGATAGAAACTACCTGTGTCTCTTTTGAGGTAAAATTCTTTGGCTATATCCTCCCAGGAAACTTTCGTTATTCAGAGTCCTTACAGCAGTTATCACTAATTTGTCATTTTTAATGTGAAAAAGAAGAAATAAATATAATCATTTATTTAAAGGAAATGTAATCAGATTTAGCTTTTAATCCAGCCTCACTCATTCCTTTATGTTGCCATATCTACTTTTAGGAATTTAAATCCGAGCTCTCACTCATAGGCCAGAAAAGATTCTAAACATTTTTTTTTTAAAAAAACAAAACACCATGCATATCCACTTCAGATATTGCATGCAATGCTATTGTTCAGGATTCATCGTTAAAATGAGTACAGATTTTTTTTAAGCCCACTTTTATGTACAGGTAGTTCTCAACTGGTAACCATTTATTAGTGATTGTTCAAAATTATAACTGTGCTGACAAAAGTGACCTACAACTAAACCTCACACTTATAACTGTTGCAGCGTCCCCATGGTCACATGATCAAAATTTGGGCAGTTGGCATGTATTTATAATGATTGCATGTCCCAGCATTATGTGATCATCATTTATGACTTTCCCAGCTGGCTTACAACAAGCAAAGTTAATGGGGGAATCCAGATTCACTTAACAACAGTGATTCACTTAATGACCATGCTGATCCACTTAACAACTGCAGTAAAACTGGGCATGACTCACTTAACAACTGCTTTGCTTAGTATGGAAGTTCTTGTCCTAATTGTGGTGGTAAGTTGAGGATTACCTGTCTCTCAGTAATTATTTTGGGAATAAACCTTATTAAAAGGTTTTAAGAGAGCATTAAAACTAACATAAACTATTACAACATGGGAGAACCAAGGAAAAAAGTGCAGTGAGAAAATATAAAAAGAAATAGAAGTTTTCAGTTTCTTCTGCAGCAAATATAAGTATCTGACTAATTTTTTAAAATCCCATTTTCATTACAGTGAAGATCTAGGATTCACTGCTGCAAAAGAGCAACATTTTCCTATTATCTGTTATAATTACTCTCCCAATTTGGGGGAAAAGACACTCCTTAAAAAATGAATTTCTTGCATTAGGGACAGCGTTGTTGGAATACGTTAAACAATTTTTATTTCTGTACACAAGAAATAAATCAACATTAATGTCTCTTGTCCTTTTCTAGCCTGCTTGGATCCATGTTTCCAATGCCTCGGGTTATTTATGCGATGGCAGAAGATGGATTACTATTCAGATTTTTGTCTCGTATCAATGAGCGGACAAAAACCCCAATGTTAGCTACAATAACCTCAGGAGCTGTTGCAGGTAAAAAAGATTCCTTAAGAATGACTCAAGTAATTCCTAGGTGTCCCCCATTACTCTATGCGTATGGGTGTGCATATTGTAAACATATGCATTTCATAACTCCATAAGGAGAACACTTTGCATCTATAAAGCAGTTCAAAACTAACATCACATATTTTACTGCACATTAAGATGCAAATATTTTTAAGGTTGCAAGACTTGCTCATTCAGAAGTAATATTGCTACTCTTACTCACGATGTTGCGTAAGTCACACACAACTTGATATACAGTTTGCCTTTTTTTGAACTCTGGTTTTCTTGCTTCTTTCTCATGAATTTTACATCATCTCCTGGGAAATAGAAGAGCTTGTTGGCCCAGAAGTATGGATAAGGATTAAATTGTCATGATTCATCAGGCTTGTAAATGAAATAAAAAATATCCTGCCACTTAATTTGTGTCTTCTCTCTCTCTGCCTGTGCCTCTCCCTCCTCTTCCCTGCACCATTAGCTGTCATGGCCTTTCTCTTAGACCTCAAGGATCTTGTAGACCTGATGTCTATTGGGACACTTCTAGCTTACTCCTTGGTGGCTGCCTGTGTCTTGGTACTAAGGTAAGAAACCATAGCATTGCTGACAAATTAGCCTGAAAGATAGCCCAAATTTGGTTTCTTGAAAGGTATTTAATTTTAGATTTCATTACCTACTAAGTTCAAAATGTGAACTGAACTCTTCCTCAACGGCAGCAGATCCTAGGCAACATTGGGAAGAATCCGATATGCTAGTCGGGGCAAATGATTCCCTACAGTGAAAATTGGTTTCAGGAGCATCATTCGTCTGCACTCCCAAGATCCCGTCTGCTTCATTATTGGTGCAGATGGCTTTGTGTCCCATCTGCTCTGCTGCCTTTGGGACAGGTCGTCTTGCCCTTTCCATGGAAATGCAAAACAGATGTTTGGACTTTTATCTTTGTTTATTTTGGCAAACTGCTTCACATAAGATTTTCCCTGCAATACTGTTTTTCCCTTCCGCTTTCATTTTCAAGAGTTAGGACTTTTTGCAGCTCCATTTACTAAAGTAGAGAAGCAATTGGATAGTATGAGAAAGGACCTCATGTTTATATGAAGATGAAAAGCGCAATATTAAGTGTAGAAAGTTTGCTCTTCCATTGCATAAAAACAACAGCAGAATTAAGTAGACGAACAGCAATGGATCCCGTTCACCTGCTGTCCACCTGTTTAAAATAGCAGTTGATCCAGGAGGTATGGTGGTACAGTGGCTTAAGGATGCTGGATCTGCCAACCAAAAATGGTCAGCACGCCACCAGTTCAAGCCCTGTAGCACCGCAGGACAGTGTGAGCTCCCATCACTCGCCTCTAACTCCTGCCCTGCCCACCTAGCAGTTCGAAAGCACTATTGCGAATAGATGAATGGGTACCTTTCTGGTGGGAAAGGCTAGCTGCAAAGGAGAAAGCGAGTCAGCACTGGACCTGCCCAGACACGAGGCAGGATCGACTGAGGAGCCCCAAAATTTGTCATCAACCCAAATACCACTAGCCAGATGGTGCAAGCTACTTAATTCGTGGTGCACCGTGAATAAGTGTGCAAGCACAAAACGGAACCCACTAGCAATTAATCTGTTAGAACTACTCTGTAAAGTGTAGGTCTCCCTGACATGCATGTCAGATGAAATAAATAAATAAATAAATAAATAAGCAGTTGATCCTCAATTTTTTAAATCATAGAAGTTACTTGAGCCTCTATTTTTTCTCTGTGATTTTTGTTGTTCCCTTGATAGTTGAACATTAAGTGCAAACTGCAGATTGCAATAAAACATAACACATTCTTTTCAAGAGTATTTTCTCCTTGAGGATAAATATAGTAGTATATAATACCTCAGTAACACCCTAATCAAGATATCAGACTCAGATTAGCTAAAGAAGACAGCAGTTTTAGCCTTATTCCTGGAAATACAGTTTTGAGACTGGTGGGGCATTTACCAGAGCAATAAAGCTCCAAGAAGAACATAACATCTTCAATCTTAACATTTCTGTCTATAGTTAGCCTTGGCAGCTCTGTAATTTGCATTTCATTTTATGGATTTCATAGGAGTACGTGAACCTAATACTTGTAGTTTCAGTTGATTTTATTCCACTATTCTACTCGTGATATGTTCTTCTAATACTCAAATAAAACCTTCCAATGGCACCTTTATAATTTCCAGTACTATTCTGCTAATGTGTATGTTATGTTTGTTTGTTTTCCTTATAGATACCAACCTGAGCAACCTAACTTGGCATATCAAATGGCTAGTACTACAGAGGAGACAGACACAAATGAGTCTGTAAGCACAAGTGAATCTCAAACTGCGTTTCTGCCGGAAGAGGGAGAGAAATTATCCTTAAAAGTTATCGTCCTCCCCCAAAATACAGTCCCTTCCAAACTTTCTGGGTTTATAGTGAATGTCTCTACTTGTGTCATAGGTAAGCAGCTGATTCCAAAAACCAGTATTATTCTCAATCATTGTGGCTCTGACTGTGGAGTTTCGTCTCTGAAAAGTTGGCTAGTGAGTTTGCTGACGAACTGAGAATGTCCTCCTTGCAGTTTGTGTTTTGATTTAGCTGTCTTTAGAATAAAACCATAGAAGAATGCGATAATGATGAGAAAACCCCTGAAAAAAACAGGCAGCGAATTGGCAAGTGAGAAGTTGAAGGAAGTCCATCAAAGAAGCATAGAATACATAACAATCCTAATTCAAGCAGTCCCACTTAACAGCTCTAATTGGGAGTGGAATTTCCGTGGCTCGGCAAAATGGTTGTTAGGTGAAACATATGACTGTACCACTTAGTGATGGCAATTCCAGTAGTAGCCCCAGTTGTGGTTGTTAAGCCAGGGCCACCCTGTCCTTGAGTAAGGATTCATGCTTCTGCTGTCCTCCTGGACCTTCAGGTACAGGTACCTCCTGTACTACTTCACCTGCCTTGTCAGCATTGGGAGAAAGAAGGCAAAGGTTGGGAAGGAGGTGGTGGGGGTAGGGAGCAGAGTGTTGATCAGCCAAAAGGGCAGAGATTGGGGGGGGGGGGTAGGTGGGTGAGGGGAATTGAAGCCCAGCCTGTGGTTGTAAATGAGAGTGGGCTGCCAAGCATCCAGTTTTTAATCACGTGACTAGGGGAGGGTGTTTCAATAGCTGTTCTTTTCATAAGCAAACCATATTTGTTCAGTGCCCTCATAACTTCAAAGGGGTTGCTGAACAAATGGTTGTCAAGCAAAAATTACCTGTCGCTGAGATTTTTGCCACAGGGGTCCCCAACCCTTGGGCCACGACCCTCTAGTGGGCCGTGGCTGGCTCAGAATTGAACTAGCGAGCTGCTGGCCAGTGCACATGTGTGCGCCTAGATCGACTCACACAAGCTATGGGGCAACATGAACGCAGCTCTACTCACATGAGTGGCGGACTGGCGCATGCACACATACACATATGCCAGCCCACCATTTGCATGGGTCATTTCCCCCCCCCCCCAGGCTCCCAAGCCATAATGGTTGAGAATCGCTGCTCTACAGGATTCAGTTCAGAATAATGGATGTTGGAAGCTATGGATCCTGGGCTGTCTATCCGCATATGTCACAGATCGTATTATTCTTCACTTAGCTAACTACAGCTGTTTTTTGTATTCCTCCCCACCATGTTTAACAATGCATCCAACATCTGAATGTTTCTTGTTCTCAGGTTTTCTTATTGTCAGCTTCTGTAGCTTGGCTGTCCTTGCCAAGGAGGTTCTGATCAAAGGAGCACCGTGGGCCATTAGCATGCTTGTTGTCATCTTCCTCATCTGCTTTGTTTTCGTGGTCATCATTTGGAGGCAACCTGAAAGCAAAACCAAACTCTCATTTAAGGCAAGTGATGTGTAAAGCATACATGCATAAAAGAAGAACTGGAGCCCTTGCTGGCTTTCTGATTGGAAAGAGAGATTAGTGGAGATCAACCTGCTTCTGCCAAAAAAACAGCAGTGAGGGGAGATAGCAAAAGACACTTTCCCACGCAGATTGAACATATGACCTTCAGCATTCTGGATGCTATTTTTGTAGGAAGGGTTCTCGTCTGTACTATTTGAATGTACTGGGAGATAATTGGTGGCACGCAAGGCTACTGTTTTTGTTTTGGTATTCCTAATAGAATCTTCCTAATAAATCAACTCATTACATTATGGGGTGGCTGCTAGAAATGAAGTCTTAAGTCTTCACAGAACGAGTAAGTGAGTGAGTGAGTAAATATATACATACATAAAATAGAGGAAGGAAGACATGCCAATTGTTAAAATTGGGGAAGCAGTTGGTGGCGTTTCAGATGTTGCAACTTTCAGCATTCAGTATGAAAATCTGAGAACTAGGTTTGCTGGGAGTTGTAGTTATGCAATAACTCGTGGGTGCACATTCCCCACCTGGCATAGTAGAAATTGTGTGTATCCCCAAATGTTTACATTGTATGCACAAACTTAAGTTAAAAAGGGGGGTTGAATTTATCATGCCTATATGATATGCAAGCCTTAATTATGTATTATAACACCTGAATTGGAGCAGAGGCATTATATAGTTTCTGTGTGTCAACTCATTCTAATAAATTGAGAATTGTGAATATAAATTAAGGTAGCCCTCATTTAGTGACCACTGTCATTAAGGGAACTGATTGCTAAGTGGGAAATCATATGAGCGTGACTGTGCTTTTATTTTTCTCACTCCCCCACTCTTTCAAATACTCATTCCAATCCTAGGATAATTAGCAAGAAAGGAATTAGTGTTTGTATTTACATTCTTTGGAGAGAAAGGGATTACAAGAGTGTAAGCAGGCTTACAATGGTGAATACAGTACACATTGAAAGGAATGTGGTAGGACCAGCTTCTGTAGAATTATTACTACAACATAAATATCAGAAAATGTACACACAACAGGATAACATTCAGTAACAATATTTAAAGTTGACCTTATCATGGAAACTCTTTATCATATTACCCTAATAGATTTTCAATCCTAACAAAATATGTTTTCATGCTAAATCTCCTGAGGAAGATCCTTACTCACTTCATTGTATGATAACAAAGGAAAGTTTCTGTTGTTTTCATACAATTTGTCTAAGTACCTTCCTGTTTGCCACATTGAACCACTGTCAAGAATATCCCCTAAAACACCATCTCTGAAATGTGATTATAGTGTGTAGAATATAAAGGATTTAATTCTTTAAAAAACATGTGTCTAAAATGTTGCAGTGGCAAAACTTGTGTATATATACAAATCTACACTTGGATAATTGCATCTCCAATGTTTATTTGACTCTATAATTTTAAACACCTAAATCAGGACTGTTAAACTCGCAGCCCATGGGCCAGATGCATCATGCACTGGCCACACCCATGCCCGATTTTGCAAAGGGGGAAAAAAGTTGCAATACATTACGTGAAGCCGTCGTGACAACGCGTGTTTGACACTCCTGACCTAGATGAAAGCCAGTAAGCATGACATCTTTTAAAATGTATCGTCAATAATCATTGCAGAGAATCCTTGACTTACCCAATTAGAGCTATACTCAGAAGAACCTGCAAGAATTTGCTGCCTTGCATACATTCACAACATTATGTGCTTGCTAATATTGATGTGAGAAAACAATTCCTTACAAATAGAATCAAATTATTGATCTCAGGAGAAGGTAGATATGTGAACTGGTGTATCCCATACTCCTTAATGTAATCCAAGAAGCACAATTTTGCCTTTGTTTTACAGGTCCCTTTTCTCCCTGTCCTTCCAATCCTGAGCATCTTTGTCAATGTTTATCTCATGATGCAGCTGGATTGCGGCACCTGGATAAGATTTGCCATCTGGATGGTCATAGGTAAATTTCAACTATGTGATATGATGACATTCTCTTCATTCAGATAGGCAGATTAGTGAATATGAGACAGTTTTGAAGGTTGAAGAGGAGTTCAGATTCTTTACTCTTGTGGTCAGAAGCCATAAAATGACAATTGAGTTATCTTTAATATACAGACATGATATTTTTCCGATTAAAATCGGAATTCCGATTTTTTTGGGAATCGCGGGCGGGTGATGCGAGCGGCGGGTGGGCGGGTGATGCGAGCGGCGGGCGGGCGGGCGATGCGAGCGGCGGGCAGTGCGAGCGGCGGGCGGGCGGTGCGGGCGGCGGGTGGTGCGAGCGGTGGGCGGGCGATTTTTTGGCCGGCCCCGATTTTTTTTCAGAAGGGAATATCATGCCTGAATATAGTATGAGAGTCGCAGGCATTGAAAAAAACATTAAAACCAAACATTTTAATAAGCATGTCAACCCAGGCAGCTGTTATGAAACCGTTGACAGTGTTTTAGGTTTTGTGTAAAACAAAACAAATACAGGTTCACACACATTAAGAGTTGGGAGCAGCCTTTAATTACTTTGATTAAATCTTTTAAAAAATCTCCAGGAATAGGCCCATGCAGGGTATGTTACGACAATTAAGCTCGTAAATTTTGAAAACAGGTGAGAAACATGGCAAGAACTGATCTATGCAGAATTAAAACAGAGTTCCCTATTTTTGGGTAGAAAGCACTCTGCAGAATATCTGACTTGTTTCTCAACTCAGAGATAGACTACTCACTAGAAAAATGTGTCAGTTCCCTTCAGCCGTACCGCACTGCACTTTAGAAGTATATATTTCTTGGACGTTCCACAAGAGCATCATCTCATGTTGTATTGTATTCCTTACAACAGAAACTGATATCCTGCGTGCTGCCTCACATGTTACCTAATGCTACTCCACTTTTCACTTTTCCCCAGGCCTGGTGATATATTTTGGCTATGGCATATGGCACAGCGTAGAGGCATCTTATTCAGCATCAACAGATCAAGAAAGAAGTATGGATAACAATATGGATACTTGTAAATGACAGCCTTCTTGCTCAGGAGGTTATTGAGATCACTACTACTGCACAGCAGGATACTTTTCTCACCCAAATTCTGAATATATATTTTTTTTTGGTAGAATATCTGGCAGGCTCTCATGTCCCCTTTTAACATGGGGATGCAGCTGGGAGAGATCACAAGGAAAAAAAATACTTAGCCTCTGATGTACTCCCAACAACACTGTTACTTCTTGACAACAGCTATTTCTCTTCTTGACTCTTCGAATAGAAATTGCCTTTCAGGGTGCCAGTTTACTTCCAATGTTCCTGTGAGAATAAGATTCTCTAGCTTGCGAATTAATTCCTGGCTACTGGAATGGAGCACACTTTATACTGTTTCTCCAAAATCACCTATATTGCAGCACCAGAACTAAACTAAAGCAAACCCAAACCAAACCATACATACACTCTCATTACATGTTTATAAACTGTACCCACTTCCCAAGACTGGAATGAAAAAAAAAAAAGGAGTGGTGCTATTTAAGCATTGTGCTTTACATATTTAAAGAGGAGTGATGCCTGAGTTTTAGCATCCAGTGTTACAACAATCTCCTTTAGCAAAGGTGGACAAACCAGGCTTCCTGCAGCCCTCGGAGGCTTCTGTGCAACCTGCTAGCTGAATTCCTCTCGTGTGCTTCAAACAACTGTGTAGATATGAAGCAGAGTCTGTTGCTTATGATAGAACTGCTGTGTAGAAAGTATGACTTTCAGCTTTGCAGATTTGCCAAATCAAGGGCAATTGCTTGCTTGGGATGCTGTTCACATTTCAGCTCAAGACAGTCCTGGTCAAAGGCAGCCTTGCCCATGCTTGTATTTCAACACAATATTGTGCAGTAACTCATTGATACGCCCTGTGGCTGAGAAAAGGCAACAGTTTCCTGTAATAAAGATGGAATTAATAAAGGAAAATATTTGTAGCTCAGGGTTGACACGAGGGGTCCTTGGTGGTCTTTGACCTTGCTTGTTTTCTTTCATTACCCAAACTAGGTAACATTACTAATGCTAATCTAGTCTATGTTACTTAGTTTGGGCAATGAAACTTCCTCAAGGAAACAAGCTCAGAGAGCACCAAGGACCCCTCTAAGATGAAATTGAACACAGGGTTCTTGGGTCAAACTCCAGCATTGTCTTTACTGTTATGTTTGAAATAATATATTTAAAGTTAATATTTTATTGAAGGAGGGTTGTGACAAAGGCAGCTTTTCTGGTACAGAGTAGGAGCCACCCTTATATTTTGCTTGGAGAATATTTGGGACTAGAATATAAATTTCTCCTCTTATCCTGTTAGCGCTGATGTTTCCAAATAGGCCACCGGGTTTAAAATTCAAATTTGGATTATTTCATCTGTTAGGCATGGATGGGACAGGGGAGACCATAAAAGTATCTATCAAAGGGAGAATCACCTCCTTCTAAAAATGTGGTTTTTCCAAAGGGAGGGTAAAATGTCTATACAGCCATCAAATAATATTGATGCTTACTGTTTTGATATTCTAGTAAATAGTGTAGATTGTTATTGTACTTTTTTCTTTTACACTGTTAATCTCAGAGGCTTGAATTTATTATTACTTGTTCGTGGTATTTATGTCTAGCTCCTTGATGTGTTGTATTTGAGCAAGCTATATGGAAAAGAATAGCACTTAGAAGAAAGGGAAATCATTTTGCTTCTTTTTGTGTGAGGAAATTTAGAAGGAGGGTTATTTATTTATGGCGCTCCCTATGTTTTGTCCAAGTTGTATCCTAGTGATAAAGTTATTAGATATGAATTTTGACTCAAGGTTTTCTCATCACCTTGGTGATTTCTGAAATTTTAGTGGTGACATCTACCTGTCCAGAAGGTTAGACAGCTTCTGCAGACAGTGTTCACCCAGCTGGACCAATAACTCGATACAGAGCAGTTTATTGTATTTGATACTTCTGCAACTTCCTTTTGCCATCACAAAAGTCTGTGAAGGCTACAATTATAATGATGAGGGTGTTCATTTTAAAGGGCTTCAGCGTTGAACAGTTGAGAAATGCACAACTTAGTTTGAATCAACTAGACCTTCCCTAAGTAAACTGGCCAAGCTGCTCAAGGTGATTTGGGAAGCTCTCAGGGCTGGCTAGAAAATGTTCCTTTCATATGAAAATGTATATGTGACTTGAAAATATCTAAAACTTTGTTTTTGGGTTTTTCTGGATGGAATCCCACCAGGTCACATGAATCCTTGTTTTAGAGTCTGTGAGGAGTGAGATGGAGCTTGCTTTGAACTCTTCATTCTTTGCTGAATCAACCTTTGTGGATTGTTTCATTCATGACAAAAGTCCTTTGCATAAATATCTTCTGCATGGTCACATTTCATATCATCCATGCTAATTTTAATCTTTTACTTATTATAAAAAAAAACCTTATTACATGGACGTCCAACTTTTTGGCTTGCCAGGGCCGCATTGAGTGAAGATGATTTGCCTTGGGCTGCATATAAAATATATAATATAGTTAGAATATACAAATCCCATAATAATGTTAAAAGTTTATGATCTTGTGGGGTCGCATTACTAGCTGCCCAGGGCCACATACAGGCTGCCGGCCCAGGTTGAACATGCCTGCCCTAATACATCATTGTCTTTGAAAATGGCCTAGAAGGATGCTGTCAGATTTTCTATAAAAGTCAAATTACTCAGTCATTAAAATTCAATTTGAGAAGGGTCCCTAGATAATTTTTGGAAGTGACTTATTTCCCTTGCACTTTTGTTCTTCTTAAGTAGATAAATCCATACTGTGTGTGTGGGCAGTTGATGAAACTGAAAGCAGCCCGAAGAATGTGATTTTCAATTTGGCAATTGCATTTCCAAAGGGACAGTAAATCCATACATTATAATTTAGTATGGTTGAATTGCAGTGTTTAGTCCAATTCATTTTTAAACTTATAGGTAGACCTTGACTTAATGACCACAATTGGGACTTAAATGTGATCATTTAAAAAGTCAGCATGTGACCAGATCTGATTTTATAACCATTTTTACCTGGTTGTTAAATGAATTATGCAGTTATTAAGCAAATTTGTCTTCTATTGATTTCACTTGTCGGAAGCTGGTTGGGAAGGTTGAATTGTGATCATGTGACCACAGAATGCTGCAACTGTCTTCAGTCATGATCACATGACTGGGCAACAGTTGTAACTTCAAGGACAAGTCATAAATTACCTTGTTCAGTGCCATGAATTTGAACAGTCATTAAATGAATGGTTGCAAGTTAAGGGCTACCTGTACTAGGAAAAATAGTATTAGAAAAAGCCTTCAACACTGGGCATCATGTTTGGTTCTGTATGGTAGATACATGCATGCAGTAAAAAGATGTTCCTTTTCAGATGTGGCATTTAAGGAAATGATTTTGGAAGGAAATCCTGTCATGTGCAAAGGAACCTTTAAAAAAGTTTTTCACACACACATCACTAGTGGAAAAGATCACAGATTAACAATCATGGTTCTCAAGTCTCATCTTCAACTGTCATAATTTTGGAAGCTGAAGTCCACTACATCCAAATGACACCAGGATGAGAGACATGGTTCTAAGTAAGGTTGATAACATATCCAAGACTTGAATGGGTTTTGCTTTTCCTCTCACTTGAGATTCAACAACAGGAGATGTTAGGCCTGGGAAAAAGTTTTCTTGGAGAAAGACTTGCCGAGAACTTCTTGTGGGATATTCTCATTATGACTAGCTGCTTTTTTCTCCATGGAGATGTTTATAGTTCCTAGTGGTATTCAGAGACTAAGGCAGGGAGCAGGGAGCAACTCTGGACCAGTAAATATAAAACCCCCAAACAGGGAGCCCTTTTGCTTCTAGTATTGAAACCTCAATGGAGAAACATGCAAAAGATTGAGGTCTAATGGTGAAAACCTAAAAGCTGCTGCTGTAAGTTTGCTAGAGTGAAGAATAAGACTACCATTTATTTGAGCTCATCTTTGTAATTATGTGAATAACTATTATTATTTTAATATTAGGATTGTTTTGTATAGCTGCTGTATAAAATCCTATTCTATAGTGTTTCTCAAAACACGGCTTCCTCAAAGAAAATGTGCAGTTTTTCTTAGTAGAGGAAGGGCTTATCAATAATTGTGGTTTTGAATCTAAAGAAGTCGCTAGTACTTTCAGGAATTGCTTACTTTAAAATCTTACTAAGTTTTTATTAGCCTAAAGCCAAATTTGCAAACTCGGTGTGTGCAGAAGTTTTTTTTTTAAAAGTGACTTTCGATAACTTGATATTCTTCACATGTATTTGAATTACATGTTTCAAAACTGCAGGGGTGGGATTCTACCGGTTCTGTCCACTTCTGTAGAACCGGTTGCTATGAAAAGTAGCAAACAGAGAGCATACATAGAACCAGTTCTATGTCTGCTGCTGTTTTGGCCCATCCACCCGCCGGGGCTCTTACCTGACCTTTATTTCCTGTGTTTTCAACCGCAGCTGCTTTGCACGACACAGCTGTGGTTGAAAAAGCAGGTAAAAAGTACTTTTTCAACCGCTGCACACTTGCAGCGCTGTTCAGCTGTCCGGGCAGCTCAGCAGGTTGTAAATTGCACTTGTGTGACTCGCACGACGCAGAGTGACAGAAACGGTAGTTATACCGGTCGGATCCCATCCCTGCAAAACTGGCATAATATTCAGCAATTTTTAATTCTCCATACCTGGAGGATATCTAATTGGGAATTAAGTGTTGCTTTCTTAATGCATGGAGTGAGGGGAGAAACAAAGTTGACCTACTTGATCAAACCATTACCATAAAAGTCATTTTTTGTAAGTCAGGTTTATGCAAATTAATCCCCAAATTAATTCCAGTTACAACTCCAGCTTTTCAAGAGCAACACATTTCTTGCTCATCAGTTCCTTCCAAGACCAATGGCAATTATCAGTAATCTGGTAGTACCTTTTTCAATTAACACATTTTGTTACAAGGTAGAAGCTTTCAAATGTGTTAGAAAAAGTGCTGCCAGACCCTTTTTTTTCTTTTTCTTTTGCTGCTATAGACTCGCATGGCTATTCTCATACAATGCCATTTATATAAATACTCTGTTTTTGTGCATTTGAAAGCCTTGTATTGTGAACTAAAATGCAATCTATTTTGTTAATATTTTCAATTGTTAAAATGTTAAAATTGTCTTCAAAATATTTTATTTAAATGTTTATATTTTGTACATTTTTTCTGCCCTTTATGTTTGATTGCCACTTTTTCATCTCCATGTCTACTTTTACTCAGTGCGTTGATAAATGAGAGATGTCTCACCAGTGTTCAGCAAGCAGTAAAAAATTTAACCTAGTCAGTAAAAACTTGCAACAACAATTTTCAGGTTTCTATTTTGATGTTCATCAATTCTGTTAATCCTCATCTATTTAATGGAATCATGCTACAAACACTGGATCATAGAATATTCTGATAAAAGGTGAGGATTTTTAATTCCTTTTCTTTAAGCCATTTTTTTAAAAAAATACTTTATTAAATATGTTTTTATCGGTTAGTGAATAGATAGTTATCAACAGGAGGAAGCCAACTGCAAGTGGCTTACCTTAAATGTAGAATCAATATACTTTCAAGGGTGATTAAGTAGAAGGCATATTCAGACATAAGCATTAACAGAATCTGTATTATCACTCACTTCAGTAGGACCAGTTTCCATATTACCTTCATTGCTTTAACTGTACTGCAGGCTGGTTGAACATCCTTTATATGCCACAGCTTGAATGCATATGTGAAACTTTGTAAGCCCATTATTTTATTGTGAGTAGAGGAGAGAAAAGATTATGTGTCTGACTTCCCTGTTAAACAGCTCATCATCACTTTTTGTCACTTTCTGATCCTTCACATGTATCTGCACACACACACATACAGAGCTTGTGAGCAAGTGGTTGTGGAAGGAACTGTTTGTTCTCTGTGTCCACATGTACTAGATTTCTAATAAGGGATGTGTGTATTAAAGCCTGCTTTCCTGGATGAATGCCATATTTGGCAAGGTGAAAGTGCTTTGTATATATGATGCTGTCTCATTTAATTGCTGATTGCAATCTTGTTGCCTTTCAGTGTGTATCTCATATTTTACTATGTGGTGTATTTACAGGGTAACAAAATGAAACAATCTTATTTAAGTTGTACAAAAGGAGTTTTCAACCTATGTGACGGACCTCTTCTGCATTTACCAAAATTTAAACGTGTTGTACAGATGCTACGTTTGGGTTCTAAATTTGAATTCTAAGTTTGAATTCTAAATTCATGCATGTAGCTTGGATTGTTGTAGAGTTGCATGTGGTAGAGGATTTTTTTTTCCAGAGAGGAAGGGACTATAGTAAAGTTCCATTGATGTTTATCTTCACTGTAATTAGAACTTTTTAGTTGGTTGACACTAAAAACACCCTCTTAAGAAAGAATGTTGAATGCACTATTGAAATCAGTAAGCTTTGCTTCTGAGAAATTGTACATAGGATAGTGCTGCACATTTAAATTTTGTATACTACTGAAATTATATCATTGGTGCCTTCTTGTGATACTGAAGGAAGTGTGAGAGCTTTAGAAAAACTTAACATGGAAATATAATGAGTAGGCTTCCCCACAACCTCTTATTGCAGTGTTCCACAGTCTGCTGCCCATTATATATATTGGACTACATAATATGGCCTGTGGGCACCAGGTTGAGGAAGATGTTTTAAATCTGATAATAAATTCATGGTAGATAGTTCCTCATTGCAAAAATGGTTAACATTTGGTAATACATTTGTGCAAGGCATTTGTGGGAGGTGATTTGCCGACAACCTTTCTTTAAAGTATTAACACAGCCATAGCCTTCATAAGGTTTGTGTGAGTGTTTTGAAGGCTCATCTGCATTTATGTGTAGAGATGACGCAGAGGGACCATCTGAAAGCTGTGAATTTATATCCATGTGCAGATAACCAGCTGGTAGCCTTGAAGAGGGCTCTGTCTCTCTCTCTCCCCCCACCCCCAGTAGTAATGTACTTTGTAAATTACCTCTTCCAAATGTTTCACACAATTCTGATTGTTACAGAGACTCACGATAAGGAATAATTACATCCTGTAAGCTCATTTCTGAAGCAGAGGCCAAACCTTATTAAAACCGTGCCTGTTTTTTTGTTTTTTGTTTAAATTCAAACCTCAGGGTATATTTTCTCATTCTTCTTGGCGCATATCCTAAAAAAAAATCCTGTCAACTTCATTAAGTTTCTAGATGGTGAGGGATCTTAACCAGATCACCCTCATGCTTTGTTTTGCAAATGCTGGAAGGGTGGTGAGTGATAAAATGACTGGGTTCCTCTCTTTCTGTTGTGCCTTTCAATGTACCTCTGCTCCCAGGGGTACAAAGAATCAGTGTGGCACTCTTTGGAGTTGTATGTTACAATCTGTCGGAGAATATGGTGGTTTCTTTGGGAATACCCACCTTTTGATAACCAAGAAGCCATGAAATAATTTGTCCATATTTTTACTGAGTAAAATGTATATAAATTTTTCTTCTATTTTTCTAATGATTTCCTCAGAATATATAATGGGTTCAAGATATAGTTACTTAAACCTTGATCCTGTCAGATGCTTCTGCCTCTTCACGGGAGCTTCTGGGTTTGTTCGGATTTTGGCTTCTCCCTTCAAATACAAAGCTTTGCTTTTTATTTTATATGTGGAACTTCATTTTAGAGCAAGGCCTCTGCTTCAATAACAAACCTCTGTTGAGGAATGCTGTAAATGTCTCCCTTTGGAGAGTGAGGGTTTTTTTTTTTTTAACTTTAGAGATCAATTTGTAAATAGGTGAACAACATTAATTTGTACTTTAAAATTTAAATAAATTATGTTAATTTTATCTTGCCTGTTCTAATAAATGTTTCTTTTTAAACAAATAAGTTGCGTGTAATTGCTGTTCTGTGTAGGAATCCAGCTTCTGGATTTTGCCTTTTTGTTTTCAATTTCTTAGTAATCCTAAATAGCTCTCCTGCTCAAGACTGCTGTAGTCTTAATTTTTAAACCATTTAATTATGTAAGTTTCTTAGCATGGGATGTGCCCTCTACCTCATTTTTCTATTCCTCCCCCTACTCCCCAATTTGCTTTTGTGGAGAAAGACCAGACTACATTTCAAATGTTATCTCCAACAGATTTATCTAGAGAAAGTAAGTGGTTCTCCTGCAGCAACTCAGAGAAGATAGGAAGATGGGGAGAGAATGGGTGCCAGAGAATAGCGCTTCTTACCATTTGCTTTTGCCCCAACTAAAGAAAAAAATTGCACACCTCCCTAGGAAAGAGGGACTTCCTCCACTGAATTTAATGTACAATGTCATGTCCTTCGGAACACAATGTCTAAATCCCAAAATAGCAGTGGTCAATGATAAGAGCACTGTAAAATGTAGAACACCATTGAGGTAATGCAGCAAATGTCAATGTCAAATGTGAAAGAAGAAAGAAAATACATATGCATTACCCTTGTTGGCAATCATTGCATAGCATATTGCAAAATTTCTATATTTTTAGTTGCATTTGTAATCTGCATTATATTAAACTACAAAGCAAATACATAGCATTTCTGATCCGTGAGGAATGAAGAAGTACTGGGAAGGGCATTGCAGGCTAAATATTTCTCCTTAGGCCAGTTTATGATATATATTGATTTTATACGTAGGGCTCTCATGTGCTAATGTCTTCGAAAAGACAGCAAGCATGTGAGTTTTCAACCCAGTTAGCTTTAATAAAAAAAATAAAAGTTGCGATGCTGAAATCGCCTTGGGGTCTTCTTTATTCATTAACATTTAGATGATGGATTTTTTATAAAGTAAATGCACAATTTTGGTAGATGTTGTGAAGCTATAGAAAGAAATGCAGAAGGACACCATAGCATAATGCTGGAGCATGTTATTTATTACCATGAATATATTACACACACTTTACACAGTAACTGAAATAATACAAACTTTTTCTTCTAATTCAAAGAGCCATCTATTATTATCAGACCATAAACCCCTGCAACAATGATGGGGTGGTGGGTGGGCAGGAGACACTTTACATGAAGGTCTACCATATGTCCATGGGACATAAGTGCAATTAGTGCAGAACCCTAAAATACCTGATTTGGGTTCTTTAATCCAAAATATATCTTTGGGTTCATTTCTGGCTGATTTATTGATGATAAATATGACATAGCTATCTCTCCAAAGCTCTTTCTAAGGTCATCATTTCACTCTACTTTTCTACCTGCTTATTTCCTTCATGAATTACTTTGAAGAACCTTTAGGCAACCTACAGAAGATTTTTCTGGGATTATTTGGTGGCCAGAATGAATTTTGATGACTTCCAGGAAAGACAAATACTGGATACAGGGAAACACAACTCATAATTTTTGTAACTGCCACATCTTGTTTGAAGCTCAGAGATATGTACTGTAGTACTGCTTTGCCACACTTGTCACTAAAAGAAGGATTACAGTGGAAATGAGAGTGCCTTCTTGGTTTTGAGGTAAGACAGAACAGGTTGGTAAAAAGAATGGCAAGTGTGTTATGCTTCCAGCATTGCATTGCTCCCTAAACTATCTCTTGGCAAGTCATGTCAAAGGCCATCTGTTACGCACTTTTCAGGGCAACTGTTTTACTCTAACGTGTTAAATGTAGTAGGAGGGTATGAGCACACAATTGGTTGTTCCTGACCAATTTCTACTTGAATCTTCGAATAGTATATTTACCAAACCTACAAGTTTTTAATTTTGAAACTATCTCCAATGTTTTTCGAAAGCTTCCATTCAGGGGTGGGATTCAAATTTTTTAACAACCAGTTCTGTGGGTGTGGCTAGGTGGGTGTGGCTAGGTAGGCGTGGAAGCCAGTCGGGTGGGCATGGCTTCTTTTTTTTTTCAGCACCCCTCTGCACTCTGTTTTTTTGGCCCCCTGGGCCTCAGGGAAGCCTCCTTGGGGGGGGGG